CTCCTCCTCCTCCTCCTCGCCTGCCCCCCGGCCCGCCCCCTCTCCCCCCGCCGAGGTGGAGGTAACCGCGGCACCTGCTGCGCTCTGCTCCTGCGCGCGAGCGCCCCCTTCAGCCGGGACGCGCCGCCGTCCGGGATCCACCGGAGGAGGGCGGGGGAAATGGGACACCCCCGGCCCGCCCGGCTGGAGGATCCCCCGCCGTTCACCGCGGCGCGCAGGGCGGGGCAGGAAAGGAGGAGGTGCGCGGAGCAGGGGGCGTGGGCCGGCGGGGGTCCCGGCGGAGTCGGCGAGCGCAGGGAGCGTGCGGACAGAGTCGTCTTCGAGGGTCGTCTCCCGCAGCCGCGCGGGGCCGCCACCCACCCCAGGTGCGCCCGGTCTCCATGACCTCTGTAGCTTCAGAGGTGCCCGGCTGCCCGGCTGCCCAGTGCCCACACCGCACTTCCAGCCCCGAGTCCGAGGGTCTCTGGCGTTGGAGAACGGCCCTCTGCGCTTTTCCGAGGCGCGGATAAGGTTGATTTTTGTGTCCGCGGAACAGGGTCAAGGAGACGCGTTTGCTAATTTCAGGTCGCCAGGCCCCCGCAGCGTCCGGTCAACCGCGACCGACCGCAGCACCCACTTCCAGATCGCCGTTTCTTCCCCTACTCCTAAGTGAATGATATGTAAGCACGATGCTAGAAGGATAGATCTCGGGGCACAAGCTATATACAATCATCGTTAAGGTGATGGCATCCCCACCCCCTCCCCCAAGATCTTGAATTCACGTTTGGAACGCCATGTGCACAGGCGCACACATCTACACTCTCACACGAGACAGACCTCTCCCTCCTTTCCCCTGCTCCAGCGCCAGCCTTGCCCAGCCAGCGCTATATAAATAACACCAGCCCTGCGGCAAAGGGCTGTATTAGCATATTTCCTCCTGCACCCTGCGCCTGGCACCAATGAGAATTATCCGGCACCTTTCACCCCAGCGTCCCCTCGTGCTGGAGACATTTCATATTCTGAGAAGTTTATTAATGGAAGTCTTAAATGGAGCAATCCATTTCTAGTCGTATTTGAGGCAAAAAAGAAATGTGAAAGAAACGCTGTTGCTTTCCAAAAGCTCTAAGCTACACATATTGAATGTATTATTTTGCATTTACTTTGTGTGCTCAGCTAACCGCTGTATAATTTAGTGGAATACATTTTCAGCCTGCAGTTCCGTGTTAGGGGAAGCATGTGCCTACTGCACAAAATACTCACATACAAGAGGACTATTTCTGAAGGGCCAAGGGTCCAGGCCCTGGGAGACAGGGAGGTTGTGGACTTTCCTGCGTGGCTGAGGAGGGAAGATTAGATAACAATGGGCGGAAGGGGCCCACAGGGCTGCAGAAGACACCAAGGCTCTGAGAAATGGGTCTCAAAACCTGGACCTATTGAAAGAGCTTTTGGGTGTGACAGTGCACATTTCGTAGGTGGTAATGATTTCTTTCCAACTTTATGTTATTTATTAGCTTACTTTTTCCTTTCCTCCCCTTCCCCCATTTGAAAAAATAATATATGCAAAGGGATGACCCCATGCCTGGCGCACACAGCAAGAGTTCAATGAATGTCAGTCATTTATTGTTACTACTACTGCTCTTACTGTTATATACCATCAGCATTTCTCTTTTTAAATTTTAACATGGCTTTACAGATCTTATTTATTTCCTCTTCGGAGGCTGACTTTTCCAGAAGAGGTCTGCTTTGTGTTTGGCTCTGCCTTCTTTCCCCCACTGACAAGGACCCATTTGTTTTCTTCTAACCCATGGCAAAACATGCACTGCTAATGACCTTAGTGGCCATTCCAATCACAGTAGCAGTTGTAGTGAATGTTTCAGAGTTGGCTTTCAATTCACGCTCTCAGTCCTCACATTCAGGGCCTCAAGAGGTGGTCTCTCAAGATGAAGCAGTGAGAATTGGGTGACTGAATACCACGTTACAGAGCCGGCCCACTGCAGAGCCAGACAGCTGATTTTGAACCCAGATCTTCTTACTGGACATTCAGGATTTCTCCATTTCATCATACAGGGGCAGATAACAAAACCTTAGGGAGAAGTTTAAAAAGATATTTGTAAATGTGAATTTTTAGGTGGGAGAAGCACTGGCCCTGGGAAAGGAATTTCATTGTGGAGATGTTATTCATCCTTGTTCCCAAGAGGTGTTAAAAATCCTCAACTGGTATATTCCCAGAATTTGAGGACATACTGGAAAAGGGTGCCTTCTAAAATTGAAGCTAAAAAGAATCAACATAAGATATTTGGAATTAGCCATCTGTAGCACTGACCCAGGCATTGTAATTAAGTTGTTGATTAGATTAGAGGTTTCCCTAAGTCCCTCTTGGATCAACATTTCCACCAAATGTAGTCAAGAAGATAAAATGTAACTAATTTAAAATAAATTGGTCTTTAATTTATTAAAACATACCCCTCATGTGAATACATTAAAACATACCCCTCATGTGACCTCATGACCAGAACAAAGAGGAAGAAATTGACACTCTGACGGCCTTTGGGATGAGTTTTTAGGTCCACTGGCAAGTACAGTATAAGGAAGCCTGGACTTCCCAGTCAGACACCTGCTATCAAATTATTCTTTCTAATTTTCTGCATGGTAGCTACCGTTACTTTGTTTACTTATTTACTCCCTCTTACCTCCAGAATGTCAGCCCTTTGCGGGGTAGGTACCTTGTACTCAGTCGTATTCCTTGGTGGCTTAAACAGTGCCTGCACATGCAATCACCTGATGACGCTATCTATCAAGATCATAGGACTCTGTTTACTTTGATTCTTAAGTCACCAAGCAACCTTTTCATATCTGTTCTATCTCTGAAACATAGTGCTCAGATCAGCCACCATGAGAATTCAAGTAAATTTGACAATTATATTTCTTATCTTAAGCTACTGTGGCTACTGGACTAGCTCCCAACGGGAATGTCTTGTGGGCAGTATTGGCTAGCAGATTTGACTTGTAGGCCAAATGCAGCTCACAAACCAGAGGCAATATCTTCAGAAAAATAATTGCTAACATTTCACAATTGGGAGATTGAGAATTTAGGAAAAAAACGTGTTTTGGGCTTCTGTGAATATAGCAGAAACCCTGGCACATTTGATGCCCCATGTCTGCATGACTGTGCTTTCTTGGAATGCAATAAATGGGCAGGTGTTCTCCAACTTGCTTTCACACACCCTGCCTGGCACACACCTCTTGCGTGTGTCAGATGCCCCCAACAGCATCTGAATTTGTGACTTTAAATTTATGTTAATATGCAGAACTCACTATCTCCATAAATAAGCGAGGCATTCCATGTTTCTTTGAAAACAAGTTAAATAATTTACTAGTCTAAAGTTTCCAAAAATTAAAAAAGTAAAGGAAATGAAAATCATAATCTAATCACCAATATACTTGAACAATTTTATTTCCTTAGAGAGAACAGGAGAAAAATATTTTAGCTTACCTCTAAAATTGATAGAAACCTAATTTTAAATCTTTCACAATTCTGTACAAATTAATTCCAAGAAATTGGTGTCAGGGTTAATTAACTGTAAGTGTACAAGTCAAACCAAATGGATTTCACACTGGTTTTATCTACATGTTCATGTTCTTTATATTTGAATTAGAGATAGAGATATCACATTTTGGAATATCATGTGTCTTTCTTTTTTCTTACTGCGCTTTGATGTCTTCCTTTCAAATAATTATTTGAAAAGTAGGTTACCTTGATTTTGTGGGGAGTGGGAGAAACTGATTGAAATTATTCCAACTCTAGTTGTATATACTAGAATATTATTTATACCATCTTTTGGCTTTTGGAATGTCAACTCTGACTCTTTAACAAGGAATTTGACATTTACCAAACCTACCATAAATGAAAATGAAAAAACTGCTTTTGTTCAATGGCAGAAGTAATAAAAATGTCACATAATCTATGCTAAGGAAAGCTACAGGTAATATCTTGAGAAAAACTATCTACCCATCTAGTTCAAGCCAAATTCATCAAAAGTCCAAGTGAAATACTAAAGTGAAGATAAGATGTGTGTGAAACAAGGGTACCTGCATAATCAACGTTTGTATACTTAACCCTGAATTGTACCCCACGTCTTTATAATAATAAAAAAAAGATGTGTGTGAAAAAACATCTCCATTATAAATGTGATTGATAGGGCCTAGTTACTTTCAAAGTTTGGTCAAAATTTAATACTGAACTCTTTGGTTGAGCTGGAAGACAATTAGTATAACAAATTGATCTAAAATTTGATGTTGGCTTTTGTTTGCT